GTTATACGTGTTTTGTTTTTGCTTTGGCGCTTTTTAAGACATTATATTTTATAAGTTTAAGTTTAAAATGAGGGTTTGTGAAATAAAAAAACTTGTTATTAGTAATTTAAGTTTAGAGGAAAAAGTCGAATTGAAAAATAACGGACGTCCAACGCCAGTGTTGAATTTAGTTCAGGTACAGAAAGAGTGCAAAAGTAGGCCAGTTTTTAAGGAAATTACTCAAGCTTTACAAATATTAGTGACGATACCAATGACAACAGCAGAACCAGAACGGTGTTTTTCAAAACTAAATCTGATTAAAACTTTTTTGTGAAATACTATGTGTGAAGATGGTCTAAGTGCGTTAGGAATGTTGTCCATTGAGAACTGTATGGTTAAAAATATTGCAGACTTTAACGAAAAGGTGACACAGAAGTTCAGTGCGGACAATGGATTTTAATTTTAAAAAATAGGTGAGTGCATTAAACTATATAAATTGATGTTATTAAAATAGTAAATAATAAATAATTGAGGCAGTGCCTCCTCTGTAACAATTCCCAAGAATCTTTTTATAAATATTTTTCATCTCTAAATCTACATATATCCCAGCTGGGTTGGTTGATCGATCATCCACTTCAGCCCCACACGTTGGAATTTTACTTCTTGTATTGGATCTAAGTACTGTACCTACACACTGACAATTTTCATTTTGGTGTACCTATGTACTTGAAACACACAATGACCTTGAAATTCCTCAAAATTTTTCGCCTGCGGCGCTAAGAGGGGGCCTGCCGCCCCCCTCACCCCCCGCACCTCCTCTCATATACGTTCTCTCTTCAAAACGCGCCCCCCCTGTGGTTAAACCCACGGGCCGCCACTGCTCAACAGATATAATAACATAGAAATTGATGATATCGGATCCATGAAAATAAAATATACGTACTAAGATTAGTGAGGAAGGGGAACTCACGTTAAAAAGGACACTCCGATGGTGGGAGGCAAAGGGACCTCACGGTAAAAAAGCCACTCCAAAGAGGTGTTGGACCGATTTTGCAACCTCCACGTGGTACACCTTGGGTAATTCAAACGCAAACAACAAAAAATATCAAACAACATTTTTACCCCTTCGAATACAGAGTTATTGCTCTAAAGTCAACGTANTATATAAACATTGGTCTGGGACAGTCTCGTTTTAGAGATACAGGGTGTAGAAGTTGCTAAAAAAAGTTTTTTGTTTGTATCTCCGGAATCTATTAACCAATTTCAATAAAATTTAGTACAGATAATGTATGATAGTAGGTCTTGTATTCCCTAAAATATGAGCTCCTAAAGGTTCAACCAGTGGTATAATACAACTGGACAAGGTCACCCCCTTTTTTATAAAAAAAACCTATGTCACTATATTTTTTACAAGCTATTGTAACAGATTTATATTTCATTGCACAAAATATGTAAAGACGGTAACTTGAATTTTTTCCCTAAAGTTCACCGTTCTCAAGTTATTCATGCCAATACAACCCCCTTGTGGCAGACACTTCTAACCATACTATTACAACAATATTTTTGTTTATGCTTAAAAGTAAGTGCAATTCGTAAGCACACCAACAAAATTCTTTACACTCGTCGCTTTCATTTTTTTGGATTAAACGATATTTGTAAAATCACGACGGAGAAATGAAATTTTAAGAGCATTTGACGACGATCCTCGGCTAAATACACGAAGAACGTGGAGAGAGTAAATCGGAAATTTGAAAAGTTCTACAAAAGGATGGCAGAAATCCGTACCATTTGCAACCTGTGCAAAATTTACTTCCGGGATATGCAGAGAGACGCCTGAATTTTTATCAATGGTTGTTAGAATTGTTACTAAAAATACTTTGGACAGATGAGGCTATGTTCACAAGGCGAGGGGTAGTGAATTTTCACAATCTGCATATTTGGTCACAAGAAAATCCTTATCAAATTCGGACAAGATCTTTTCAACGCGAATTTTCTGTGAAAGTATGGCTCGGAATAATTCACAATAAAGTTTGTGAACCTTCTTTTTGCCACCCCATCTAAATTCCCAGTCATTCCTAAACATTCTAGAAAACCATCTATTTGAATTATTAGAGGATGTTCCATTAAATATACGACAAAATAGCTGGATACAATTGGATTCGTGCTCCTGCGCATTTTAGGAGAATAATACAAGAATGGCTTAAAGAAAATTATATGGGGTGATGGATAGGTAAAAGACCAAATGCCAATGTCAACCATAATGGTGCAGAGGGTCCAGTGTCTTGGCCAGCCAGATCGCCAGATCTAAACCCCCTGGACTTCTATGTTTGGAGTTACCTATCTGAAAAGTAAAGTTTATTCTACCCCAACAGATACAAGACCAGAACTACTGCAACGAAAAGAAGACGGGTATAATGAATTAAAGAAAATCACCACATGATATTAGTTTCAATTAATTCTATTAATAGAAGATATCAGAAATGTATCGATGTGGTTGGTTCGCATTTTGAATAATTGCTGTAAATAGGTAACGTTAATTTTGTTTCTTTTTTAGTAGTTTTTGCTTGGTAACTGTATTTTTATTAGTATTTTGATTTAAATTGTTCTTATTTGTAATTCCAGGGGAAACTAAAACAGACCAGGAACATTACCTCATACCTTACAAATTGCACTTACTTTTAAGCATAAACATAAATATTCTTGTAATATTATGGTTAGAAATGTCTGCCACAAGGGGATTGTATTGATATGAATAACTTGAAAATGGCGAATATTTAGGAAAATATTCAAGTCGCCCTTTTTACGTATTTAATTCATTAGGATATAAATCCCTTACAATAGCTTGTAAAGAATACAGTGGCGTAGGTTTTTTTTATAAACAGGAGGTGACCCTGTCCAGTTGTACACCACTGGTTGAACCTTTAGAGCTCATATTTTGGGAAATACAAGGCCTACTATCATAGATTATCTGTACCAAATTTTATTGAGATCGGTTAATAGATTCCGGAGATATAAATCAATTTTTTTAACAACTTCAACACTCTGTATCTCTAAAACGAGGCTGTTCCAGACCTATGTTTATAAGGCAAACTCCTATTATTTTAAAGAGATCTATCTGTCCTCAAAGTTTCCTGCATAAAATTCGGACCACCCTGTATATAATTTAATTTAAGCAAAAATAGATTAGCAAAAACAAACCTTAATTGATTCTTCTGGCGGAATACACAAATAAACAGAAAAAATAATTAAAATACGTAAAAGCTAATAAAAACATTGCTGCTAAAATCGAATCTCTTCGAGAGAAGGGTTTGAATTTTACTCTGTTGGTTTCTAAATTTCACGGGGCTCTCAGTACAATACTTAAGAACGATTTCTCATAATAACTTGTTTCTTATTTTAATTAGTATAATTTTAAATGCAAGCAACCTGAACTATTTTTACTAATCCTGCTTCGATTTTGCTACATTAGAATCACCACGCATGTTTAAATAATCAAGACTTAAATTATACGAAAATTCAACAGCATTTCTTGATTATTTGTTTCTAACGCGATTGTATGGTATACTTCAGAAAGCAGTGTTTTCCTGATATAATTCCTTATAAACTTGACAACAATAATAAATGTGTTACCTAAGCATGTAAGGATTGAATAATTCTGAAGCTTTTGGAACAGCATATGTCAAATATACGAAAGAACCATCTGTTGAACTCCTCATTTTCTCAATCCATTCCTTTTGATCCATTACACCTAATGTCTGTTGCTTCTTAATCATAGCTTTCTGACTTTTATCTCGTTTCAAAACTGAAAATGTTTTCTTTTTAAGTTTAAGCATATTATTTTACACACGAATTATAAGGTACAGCATATAGTCCTCTATGATTGTTTTCTGCTAATAAGTACATTTGGTATGTTGGCAATATTTTCATTTTCTAGTAAAGTAAAATAAAGCTTTATTTAGAACCAATGTCGGCCAGCAAAAAACTGTTTTATATGACCAAATACATTTTTAAATTGTAAAGTAGTTAGGAGACCATAATATACCTGGTAAATCCAAATGCATCCATATTTGTATAATTCACAAAAATTATTGACAAAAAAATTTGTCGTTAATAAAATTATATATAATTTGGAAAGTGTTTTAAATAGTCATACAATTTTAACTATACCTTTGCGAGGTCTTCCTAAGGAATCTAAGTGGTCCTGTTCTTCAGGTTCATCACGGCAAACTGATTTTATTTTTGTCTTTACCAATGTATCTTGCCGTTCTTTAAGTCCAGTCTGTAAAAAAAAATAATATTTTGAACTGGATATCATTAGTTTTAAATAAAATTTTAAATTTAATTGTATTTTTCCAAATTATATCTTACAATTAATATTTAATCCAGAGTATTGCTTTGATTATAATAAATAATTATTATTACAAGAAAGTTTTTGATTTCAAGAAAATGACTGGTTAATTTTTTACCAAAATCTTCATCATGGGCGTAGCTACGATTTTTGCTGGGTGCCCTAGGCTGTAAGCTCTATGGCCTCTAAAAAAAACGCATGCACTTCAAAACCTAAACACTTTTTGAAACTTGCAGCATGCAGCAACAATTTCAGGGGGAGGGGCAGCAGCCTCCTCCTGCCCCCCTGGCTACGCCCATGGATTAAGATTCTTAATCCCAACTTACCCAAAGCCTGTGTAAACCGACAAATAATAACGGTGGTATCTCACAAGGGGCATTGGTAATTTTCAATTTTACCAGTTTAAATTAAAATCTCTATTGGAAAAATGCATTTGATGTAAAAAAATTCAATGAAATATGAGTAACTAAACATATGCTGCATAGAAATCGGAGACGAGAATAAGTGAGAAGACGCGCGAACCAACAAAAGTGGAGGCCGACATTTTAAAGTCTCAGATATACGAGGGGCATCGGTAATGTTCAGACCTGCCTTAGGGACCAAGAGTACGTGAGAATTTTTGTAAACCTTCATAATGAAATAAGTACGTTTAACTTAGGGCAGACTAAATATCTACATGTGATACCTAAGTTAGGATTAAAACTTTTTTAAACTCACTATTAATCCGAGTATCAGTTTGTCAGTAAACCTTGGTAGGTATACGAATGTTATTTACTTTAAAAACTTAACTTTATTTAGTTGAAAATACATTTGCATTTTTCGTTTTCAACATGTAACCTTTTTTATTCATCTTCTCACAACAACTTACCATTGAACTCTGAACACAATAACACAAAACAATGTACATCAGTTAGTTAAATTAAGATATAACCTATACAACTGGGCCTGATCGAAAAAGTTGGGTGCCGTTTGTGCTCACAAAATGAGAAAAGGGCAGAAAACAAAAATTTTATCTCATGAGAACAAACCATTTTCTATATTTATCAGATTACCTACAGTTCTTGTCAGAGGATTTGGACAAAACTTCATCCAACAAGTTCAAACCTATTGGATGAAATATTATTTTAAAAGAGAGTCACAATAGACCATAGTGTCCCAAAGGAGGATTAATTTTTAGTCCAGTCCCATGAACCGAAACCGAACCTATGCTTACTTAAGCACCTAAGTTTAATATTTCTCTATATCTATTGGAGACTTACTAATGGTTCTGGTTGCACTTTCTTGTATTCAATCTTTTCCAGCAATTTCATGTGTGGTACATGAAAAGGTATTACACCAGGATCCCTGTAAAGAATACATTATTATTATAAATTTGTACGATACTTAGTTTATTACTCAAGTTTCTTTTAGTAAACACAATTTTTTAAGTATGGGATTTATCTCTTCAGTACAAATTTAATAGATTTGTATTAACTACCGAAGTTAGTTAAGATATGTAGATATTTCCAAATTTGCGTATCTTTACTTTTTACAATATTAAGATATTAAGAGATTAAGATTTTGAAATGAAGTTTACAATAACTGAAGTCTACTTAAATAATTTTTTTTAATTCGTTCTAAAATCCGCAAAAGAGGAGGTAGATAGGTATCTATTTTTCATTTAGTCAAAGTTTTTTACGAACATTTTTAGTTGTAAGAAACGAAATTTTTTTATGGTTACATGTATAATTGTTGCGAAAGCATAGTTAAGTGTCATAAATATAAATAGTAATTTTCTCATGGCACAATTTGACACATTTATTTTGCAGTAGGAATTTTTGGGCAAGTAATGAATTATTGAAATGGATTTTACTAGAAAATGGCTCATGCTATTCAAATCTAACAAGAGCACCTTTTTTATGCAAAATATGATAAATTTTCATATTTTCAGTTAAAGAAGTAGAAAAATTGCGTACAAATAAAAATTGCAAAACATGCCCCATGATCCCGCATTTTCTTAGGCCCCTGTAGCAAATTTTGATTTGTATATTATACTGATTATTAAGCATATAAATAGTAATGTAACCCCAAAATTTCGTGATTTAATATTAAACCGTTTTGAAGTTATGAAATAAAAACTGTTTCCTGAGTTACCCCTTAGGGGCTGCCATTGACCAAAAACTCTACTGAGGTTTTCATCATATTTCGACATGCTTTACATACTCTCCAATTTTGAGTATTTATTTCGTTAACACCTTGTATGAAAGCAGCAATCTCGAATGTAATAAAATAGGAATATATCTCTACTTATTATAGTTGGCTCTACATTGACAAAGAACAAAATATTTTCTTTTACCCCGTTGTAACTATGGGTAACAAAAGTAATAAATAATTAATATTAATTTCGACATGTCAACAGAGGGTTTTCCAATTTTCTGTTATTTAAAATGTAAGTAGAACTAATTTAATCGATATTATTCGTACATAATTGGCTTCTAATTTATTACTTTTCTAATGTATCAATAAAATTTAATATTTTATTGGCTATGGCTTGCTTCTTTTTGATTCAGTACCTACTGTAAACTGTAGTGATATTTTAAAATTTACAGAATACGAATGCTAAATTAAATAAGATTTTTTAAGAAAATTTTCGTTCTATTTTAATTTTAAAAACCTAACTAGAAATAATTTTGTATTCATTTCACGTTATTGCTTGCTGTCTAATAATATGATTTTTGTGTTGTCAGTTTGCTTTTACCTATGTTGCTCTTAGAGATAAATCTTACTAAAAAACGCGTAGCTAATTTATCTAAATTTATTTATATAAATATAATAAATTGGACAGGATATTTAAGAAAATCACAGTTTCATCAAAATCATTATAATTCATCTAAATTGAAAAAAAAAAGTTTATTATACTGGGCGAACGAAAATGTTTTGGTTTTTTATTTTACACCTAAATTTAGATAATTTTAAGTTTAATATATTTAAACCTAAAGTATTTGGTGAATTACTTACTTATAATTATTGGAATGTTTGCCTTGTATTTAACTCGTGGACTTGTCCAGTCAAATAAATAAAGCGATTTAATTTGAAATTGGTCCCTAAGGAATATTAAACATACGCCTAAATTTCCAAAATTTTTGACGACATAATTTAAATTTAGGTTTTAAGTTTACGTATTTGATATGTGAAGCGGAGATAGTACATACTAATTATATTTTTGTTACAGTTAATGTGAAACCAGACTAACCTTTTATATTTGGTGGGTGGGGGGCACAAGAGACGTCCCGCAGCAACTCGCATGGGTCTCTCCAGGTTGCCCGCCGCCGCCAGCTTTTCCCGGGATCTGTTGTCGGAACTCTTGTTGCTGTAGTTGTCACCAATGCTCGAGTAGTCCGGCTCCATCGGGGTCCCAGTATTTGCAACACCTTTTTAATGGACCCGGGAAAACAACACTTGTATATTTGTGACAATATACGAATTTTCACAAACTATTTACTCGTTTCCTTGACTACCGACATTGGCCTACTTTTTACTAGCAGTATAATAGTGTTTTAGTTTAGTGTATAGGTATCTCAATAACCTAGCCATCGCCATAAACATAATAAATATCTAACATGGTAAATGTTAATGTAAATGTAAATGTGTTAATGTAAATGTGTCCACATTTTGAAAAATGTAATTTTAACTGTACCAATTCTTATTTTCTGTAATTATTTTTCTCAATAATCTTTAAATGAGCTAAAGATAAAGATGTCAACATTTGTACACGAAGAAATATCAACTGTTTTAAGAAAAAAACAAACAAACCATTTTGTTCCCGATAGCAGAGGCGCCGAGCTTTGTAGGTGTGGGGTATAATTGAAGCAAAAATATGTATGTATTTATTTATTTATTTTCCAAAAGGTGTAAACCTATAATTACATGGAAATATTACTTAATCTATATAATGTTAAATAAAGCACTCCATATGAAACTTAACCATTTTAAAACAAAAAATATAAGTACCTATACAAGATATAACAACAGTATTACAGAACTAATTAGAGCAGTCGTAACAAATTCAGATGGAGAATTACAGTGCAAAAAAATTATATAAAAAATACATCAAACTGGACCCCGCACTTTTCTTATGTAAAAGTGGTTTCAGTTAAATTGGCTGAAATTTTTATATGTTACAGCTCTTAACCTGTCGATCAAAAGTCTCCATTGGCACAATATCCTAAAGTTCATAGTTTTCGAGTTACGTTGACTTTAGAGCAATAACTCTGTATTCGAAGGGGTAAAAATTTTATTTGATATTTTTTGTTGTTTGCGTTTACATTACCCAAGGTGTAACACGTGGAGGTTGCAAAATCGGTCACCTCTTTGGGGTGGCTTTTTTACCGTAAGGTCCCCTTGCCTCCCACCATCGAAGTTTTTTTTACCGTGAGTTCTCCTTGCCTCTCACTAATCTTAGTACGTCTAGATGCATGTATTTTATTTTCATGGATCTATCTTCAATTTCTATGTTATTATATCTGTTGAGACTATCATTAATATAGTTTAATATTGCAATAACTCTGTATTCGTAGGGATAAAAATGTTATTTGATATTTTTTGCTGTTTACATTTGCATTGCCCAAGGTGTACCACCAGGAGGTTACAAAATCGGTTCAACACCTCTTTGGGGTACCTTTTTTGCCGTGGCTCAAAAACTACTTGTACGTGTGAAAATGGTTGAGTTTAGCTCTAAATCTTGATTTGATCAATGCCTGCATTAATATGCGACATATAATATGCATGAAAGAATAATTAATAAAATATTTAATTTTCCATATCCAATAAGTTTTTATGCCATCAACTAGGTTAGTTGTAACGGATATCTGCAGTCGAAAGAACTACTCGCAGTTTAGGTTTGAACCTTAAATGATTTTCATGTTGGCACATACATAAATACTATATGTCATTTTTCTCCATGACAACCGAAAAAATAATAAATCATTGTATACTCGGCGGCCGAAATTATAAAGAGTGACTAATACATAATATAAAAACACTATTACCATAATGCGTATAAAATATAAAATGATTTCTATACGGTTCAATATTATTTATCTTTGTGCCGCTCGCCATGCACATCGGTCTTTTGCACTTGGTAGGGAATAGGGAAATGCTTTTTTAGTGGGTGTAAACGGACTTGATTTGCCCGACCTGAGAAACGTCATAGCATAAGCGTAGACGAGGGGTCTAATTCCATGGCTATAATAAATTTATAAATTAAAAAAACACAACTGGGACGTTTTAAAATGCTGTAATAATTAAAATTGATCAAAGTGCCGGTTATAGCAAACCGTAAAAAATATTAGATGTTATGTTTTATTATGTTTTTTCAATATTTTCTATATCTTGTTGCCTTTTACGCAGACACGCCAATGGATTTTCGTTCCCGGCACGCTTCATCCCCCTTACTAGTCCAAGA